CCTACGAACTTCAGATAGATAGCCCTTATAAAAAAATTACAATTCAAGCCACTGACACAGATGTTATTCTTCTATGCATAGCATATGCGAACATCCTTAATGTCGATTCGTTAGTAATAAAGTCTTTTAATACGTCAACAAAACAAAATGCCTATATAAACACAACAATTGTTGCCAATGAACTAATGATTAGTAAACATTGTGAACCAAGAATTCTATTGATACTACATGCATTATCTGGTTGCGACACAACTTCATTCATCAGACATGTAAGCAAAATAAAATGGTTACAAACATATTTTAATAACCCACAAATGCACAATGAAATTATCAAATTTGAAGAAAATCCATTAAAGCACGAAACAATATCAGCAGCTGAACAACTATTGCTGGCATGTTATTCTAATAAATCGTCGTCTAAATACTCTGCTCCACAATATCAAACGCTCGATGAACTGCGAGCAGCAGCTGCTCTGAATGGCATTAAACAACATAAAAAAAATATTGCAGCAACGTTACCCCCAACTTCTGATGCATTTTACTATCATTGTTTACGTGCATTCAGACAAATTTATATATGGACAAAAGCATTTGAACAATTTATTGTTTATCCATCATTAGAAAACAACGGCTATGAGTTAATTAACGGTCAAACGCTGATTAAATGGAAGGCGAAATCTTCGATTCCAGATGATATTAGCTTATCTAGCTGTGGAAAATGTACAACTGGCTGTAAACAATGTAAATGCGGACTTAATAAACTAAAATGCACAATATACTGTCGCTGCGATCCTGTTCGGTGCGAAAATCGATCAGATAAATATGTATGTTCGTCTTGATCATGAAATATACTTATAATATCAGTATTTTGTATATTTTCAGATGGCGAAAGAGGTTTTTGTTGATGATCAAAGTGAAGACGATGAATTTAGTGTTAACATAGCTAATTTCGGATCCAAGGAAGAGCAAGCAGAAGCTGAAGAAAATTTTCTTGAAGATATAGTACGAAATATCTTACTGTTAAACTGATACTATAATTTTCAAGCCATTTTGTAAACATCTAGTCTTGTTTATTTAGAATAATTTATCTGATTTCGAAGACGATTTGATTGATAAGCCAAAATACACTTATATTACCCCTTTTCCGCAACATCATTCATCGGTAGAACTTCCACTAGACGAAAGTTGTCTAGCGGAGTCCAGATATTTGTTCAATCATACCACAGATCACGATTATTTTACACAAAATGTATCATTTTCAGCAAAAGTAGGTAGTTTATTTCTGCAGTATTTTTACTAGCCTTTCTTATTTCTGTTGATGTAGTTTGAAAATGACTTCGAGCGAAAACAATCATCGATGCAATATTACAGCAGTAATACAGCAGTGACGGATATGAACGATGACAATTCAAATACCAACTTCTTCACACAAGTAAGATTTACCTCCTCAAATATGTCTCAGCATACGCGAATAACTTATACTGTTATTTTAGACATCCCCGACAAACCCTCGAAAAAGGAGTGCAAAATATTCTTCTCGATTGGATATCTTAAATGAATCATTTGATTAGATTCATTTGCCGAAATACAATTTATTTGGATTGATCAAAAGATCAGCAGACAACATTCTAAAAAGGCTGTTTCACAGTATTATACCAAGTTTTATTTTGTTGAACAAACCCAGCATTGTTTTTGTGGTGAAACTAGCTTGCTTTTTAGTTTTTTTTATACAATTACTTGTATTTGTGTTTTTTGGTACCTTCTTAATCCTTTTATGAAATAAAAACTCGTAGCTGAAAACAAAGATAATTACTCTAGTTAAAACTTATATAACTCATTGGCATCGTATACCAACCGCTTTGGGCAAAAAGTTCGTTCGCCAATATCAGTATATTTACTATTATGCTTCATCGATCCTCTACCACACGATTAAAATAGATAAATGCAAAATCAACAATTATACAGGTAGTGTATCAATTTGATCGCTTTGCTATTCAAATATTTAATTCTCGCCAGTTTTTAAAACAAAACCATTAACACCTCAGTAGCTAAGATACGCCTTCGTTTGGATTCTTCGATGTAGTTGAAATTTCAACGCGTCACTCAACTTTGAATATATATTCTGAAAGCCTTTAATATCAGCTCTAATATTAACTTGAAATGAATTCACGAAAATCAACTTCACTCGTAAAACTCGTAAGAGGGCGCCACGAAGTGCATTTGTCTATAATTGGCTGTTAGTTCGTTGCTCCACGTCATGAGGTAGTGCACCAGTATACAAATTGAGCAAGAGTTGCGCAAGAACAGAAAGAGTTATGATACGGGAGGATGAACTAAGAGTTGCGTAAGGATGGTATAAGAGCAGAATCTTATGAGCTGTCGGGGACGGCAGGTCGTGACAGCCACATGAGCTCAAATCCTCTTAAGCATTTTCATACTACCATCAGGCTTATCTATGAGCAAAATATGAACGAGAATGGCTGTGGTCATCCGGGAATGTTCCCTCGTCAGCCTCTTATCACTCCTTACAGAGTAAACATGACTCAATCTCTTATGATTCTTTACAGAGCGACATGACGTTCTCTTTACACAATAAGCACTAACGTGAGTGTCAACCATTTTGTAGAAGATCAAATAAACTGACAGTAATAATAAATAACATTTCTTACTCAATAATTAATCATAAAAAAATGGAAGATAAATCCCCGTCAAAGTGTTCATCATGCAGTCAAAGTGTGGGCATATTTATTTGTGTGGGATGCAAGTCTTTGTTTTGTGCTAAACACAGCGTCGATCATCGAAAAGAGCTATCTGAAACAGTCGACAGTCTTGTCACTAATCACGATCAACTCTTGCAAGATCTAACTGATTTCATACCACAACCAATCGATTATAGAAGTTTGATAAGTCGCATTGATGATTGGGAAGCGACCACGATGAAAAACATAGAAATTGTCGCTCAGCAAGGGAGAGAAAAAATCCACCAACTTGTGTTGGTTAATGATAACAAAGAGGAAATAACAAAACACTTTCATTCACTCTCTGCTAACTTGCGAACAGTACGAGAGAGTGATAACTTTCTTGAACACGACTTGGAACGTTTGAGACAGCAACTTGACGAGTTGAAAACGAAGCTGGATGAGGCAAAAATACCAAAATATGTTGTTCTACAGATGAATCACCAGTTAGATTGGAATCAGTTGATCGAAATTGAGATTCAAAAGAAAGAAGCAAATGGCATGCCAGAGCTGTTAGACGAGATTTGTAATGTACAACAACAACTGCGTCAGATGGAACCCAGGGCTGATCGTCTGATGTTAACCAGGCACCTTCGATCGTTGCAACATAAGAGAAATCAACTTCAAAGTCAGCTTTTATCAGACCGAATAACAACCTCAAAGAGAAAATGGGAATAGGAAAAATTACATTTTGTTCTTTCTAACTCGCATAATCAAGAATGTATCCTTGCCTTGTAGATATTTTTAAACTAAATTGTTTATAATAACTACGAATAAGGTGTTTATGTGTGTGTGGAAAATAATATTAGTGGAAATGTAAAATAGTAAATAGTGCTTTTCTTATTGATCAATGTATATTCATTCACTCATGCTGATTTATGTGTGTGCTTCTTCTCATGTTTATTCCACACTCATATATCTTAAAAAGAAAAAAGTTCAACTTAAAGCGGAACTGCTTGTACAATAAAGGGGTTGTCACATCAGAAGATCCAGGTCGTCTAATTTGTTCCGAGTTTGGAAGATTTCGAGAGGTCTTGTATTGTGTCCCAAAGAATCTCTTTAGGCTGGAAAAGTGTATTTATTATAGAAAAATCTGTTCTGATACGTAGTTCCTTAATAGCTGGATTATTCTCAGTATTAAAAGCTGCATTTGAGTTCTATTTCGAAAAAATAATTTTGTTTTTGTTTTCTGTCTTTAACTTATTTGCCTGATTGTCGTTTATCTGTTTTCCTTTCAATGTTATGCAAATAATTATCGCTTTTACTGACTGAGAAAATGTATGACAGGACAAATGTGTTGCAGATACAATGAGTGAAATGGTTATATGAGTTGTGTTAGTTCATTTTTCGATAAAAGCGTATTTTTGCAACCCAAATTTGACATATGATTCTTATTTGATTTGCAGATTCTATAATCAAAACTGGGATGACGAAAAAAATTGTTCACTTCCATACTTTATCTTGACCGAGTTACATCAGATAGGAAATTCAATTTTCTACAAACTAAGCTAAAATACTTTGTTTTAAAACCCCCGGAATAGTTTGAAAAGTTGAAAACAAGACGGCCGACTGACATTGTTTATTCCGTTTTTTGAGATTTTCGGCATCAATACTTCATTCTTAAACAAAAATAGATAATATTTGGAATCAGCATCAAAAACTGCATCAGACAATGTGCCTTTGAAGTTGTTTATAAACAAAAAGTTTTCGACCCTTTTTTTCGATTTTCATTTTCCAACTCCGACCAATTTTTACTCGAAAACTTTTATTTTTGTTTTAGAATGAAGTATTGATGCCAAAAATCTCAAAAAACTGGAAAAACCAATGTCAATCGGCCGTCTTGTTTCCAGCTTTTCAAACTGTTCCAGGGATTTTAAAACAAAGTATTTTAGGTTAGTTTGTAGAAAATTGAATTTCCTATCTGATGTCGTCTTCGTATTTCTAGAGAAATTCTGTTTGGGTGCCCAAAAGTGGGTGTTGGTAGAAAAAATTTGTATGTGAAAATCTTAATCCTTCAGGTGAAAACAGCCTGAAAACCCTAATTTTCGTAAAACTGGCTTTTCGATAGATTTTCAAAACTTTTTCTAAAAACAAATATTGCCACGAGACTCGACATGGTCGATTATCCATAGTCCATCCGTCTTTAAGGCTACCAAGAGTCACCGGGTGCCAGTCCTGGGACTCGTCGGAAATCCGATACAACGCCCGAACTGCAGAAAATCAAGGTCTCACTTTACTCCCATTTTGAAGAGAACACCCCGGGCTATCAGCAAAAGAAAAAAGTCAATAGATTCCTGTTTGAACTTCGGAAGATGCTAGCTAGTTTTCGAAAGACCTTAACCGGTTTTGCTTATGAAAAGGTAGCCTCAAGTCTTGGCTCACGAATGGTGAAAATTGCAAGTCTCTATCTTTATCTAATGCTGAGTTATTCAAAAAGCAACCGACGCTCTTGTATTTTGGAACGGATAGTAATAGGTATACTGAAAATGCAACTACAAAAATAGACTAACAACAAAATTATAAAGTTATCTTTAAAAATATTTTCGCATATGTTTGATGAATGAATTCAACTAAGAATATACACTCATCCTAGTGTATTTTGACGAAAAAAGCTTTCGGTTTAAAGCTAAAATATACGAAAAACATAATCATTTTCCTGACTAAAAAGTTCTCTATGGGGTCAGAATCAGTACATTACGTGCGCTATTGATAGCTATTCATAGAATTACAGTGGGTTGAACAATCCTTCGTCCACTTACAAAAGAATCCGTTTACCGAACAAAAAACGATATCAGTGGAACAGTTCGATCATATTATCGTTCTACCTCGAAAGTTACAGATACCCCAGAAAAAAGACAATATTTGGTTCTTAAAAAAACCGTTTATAAAATACTTCGTTCTTTACGCTGTTTCGGTACAATATCAGATTATACAAAAGCATTTCAAAAAACTAATCTGAATTTCGTCAAAGAATATATTGTGTCTATCTTGAAGGTAAGTACAGAATGGGAAGAAAATTTCAACACATTCAATCTGATCAATGATCGAAAATACCTGATGGATGCGCCCATTTCTTTTCGATCTTTCTTGAAAAATACTAGCCGGGACGCCAAGTTGGAATAGAAAACTACAACAAACCATGTACACAGACAGAGCTCAGGTTATCAGGGTTTGCTAAGAACTGTCAAATGAATAAAAACAGAACTCATTTCTGTCGGGTTATAAGAACTAGAATAAAGTTTAGACTTAAAGATCGTGAAGGTGAAATGTGCGCCAAATGGATCTGCTCTACATATTCACATGTAATTTAATTTATTTGATGACAACAACAACAGTTTAACAAACGTCACTATTCTAACAGACAAGTCTATAGCGGGTAGTGAATAAGAATTTTAACAAATAACTCTAGTAACTGAAAAATTGATTCTACTTTTTAACAACAATAGCAATAAATGGGAATCATGTCAGATTATGTAAGTGATCATGTGACTTTCAGAATGGGGCTTAGGGAAGAAGAGTTTGATATGCTATACTTCACAACGGCAGATGTGGTTAGTTAAAACAAAAATAATAGTTCAACCTTTAACAGTGAAGCGATCCGTCACGCGGATGTATTCGGTCACGGCTCTGACGACAATATTCAATTCTTTAGTAGTAAGAGGAACTTCAAGCAAGAACGCTTTCAAATCAAATGGAAGGTGAACTAACTCCGACTGAAAGACCGAGCTTAAAGCTGATCGAGCAACATCAAATAAAGATAAGCGCGGTTCTAATTTGTTTCGTGAGTGTGTTTAATTTAGGGACAATCACGTGCGAGTACGCTTTGTTATTGA